CACGCCTACATAAAACTATCCCCATAACTAATAATGGCACAATCCTAACACCATCCCGGTCTGGCGTACAGTGACAGTCCACAACCATTAGTCAATGAAGTCAGTTCACTACTCCACTTAACTCCGATTACAGGTGACAGGCAACAGGTTTCATTAAAGTTGGTCGTTCACAACCACAGATAAACTTGATCCGAACCTGCCACGACTCCACCTGACAACCCCAGGAGACTAGTATTCACCCCAGTGGGTTCACCAATTACCTCTGTCAACAACTGGATAGCCACTGATCTGTGACAGGGATAATGAAGTGAGTGCCGTCACTGCCACCTCCGTAAACATCTGTGTGGCAGGTATGCAGAGACTGACAATGACGCTGGCTTACAGTGTCGAGGACACAAGATGGATCACCAGATTACTATACACTGTATGATGGGACTATATAACCCTTGTCAGGTAAAGAAATCCATTTCATGGTAATATTTACTTTGGTCATCCATATATACACAATTTTCAATATAAGATATTATTTTATTACATGATTTGGGAATTTGGTTTACATTTAAGAAAGGCTATAGTTACATGAAACATAAATACAGACAGAAGCACAGGTTAACAAGGAATGTAACAAGACATGACTTTGATCAATGGCCCTGACACTACAAATAAATATACCTTAAACTACTGTTTCTACTCGATTCTGTCAAAATATGCAGTATCACCTGCTCTGACACTAGAAATAAATATGAAGACTTCAATTACTGTTCTAGATTCTGTCAAATTATGCATTATCACCTCAGGCTTGGCTTCAGCGAAAAAAAACGCTCAAAAATTTAATTGAAATGTATCAGACATATCAGACTGCAAACTGTTGGTATCATTTTGAAGATGGTTTACATTGTCTATTTACATGCAGAAACTGTGCAAATATAAGAAATAATATGTATTTTTACACCCATGAATATAACCCGAAAACGGTTTTATATAGCAGCTCTTCATTTAGTTTTGCAATTAAGATGGAGCTTTTTAAAAATCAGTCCACAATTTTATTGTCAAAAGAAAAAGATTTGAATGGTACAGTATATCGCCATGTATAAGGCGAGTTTTTCGGTGATGTGCTTCATTCTGATTGGCTTTATAGACAGGGTATATCGATTAGCATCAATTTCGAAGGCTTTTACACAACGCTTATAGGCGGGGTTGCTTTATAGACAGTGATATACGGTAGTACTTATCTTAATCTTTATACATTTTGGATAAAATTTTAAATTTGAGAGATGCACCCTTTAGCTGGGTCACCACTTGTTCTAGCCTACAGTTACAGATTAATTTAATGTATTGAACATATATATTCAACATGAGCATGTTCATATAGTCACCAACTGCAATCTGTGTTTCCTGGAGATGTATGTTTATAAGCAATGTTTTGATTGTTTACCAATCTGGATTTCATTCATCAAATAAATATATGTTTAAATCAAATGAATGAGTATAAAATGACGTTACAGCTTCCCGAGGCAAGGGAGTTAACTGACACCAGTGGCCCATTCGAGTTATGTTGCTTCTATACCCTTCCTTCCAATTGACCAATCAGATTCCACCTCATATCAATTACAAAGATGGGTAGAATAGGTCTTCAGCAACCCATAGTTGCCGTAAAAGGCGACTATGCTTGTCGAATGAGGGGACTGAAGGGATCAGGTGGTCAGACTCGCTGACTTGGTTGATGCATGTCATCGTATCCCCCGATGCTCATGATGTCAATCACTGGATTGTCTGGTCCAGATGCAAATATTTACAGACTGCTGTCATATAGCTGGAATATTGCTGAGTGACGCGTTAAACAACAAAATAAACAAACCCAAACAAAATGGCAGCACCCAGTCAAGATATCAAATAATGATCGATAATCAAAATCGTTTTTGTATTTTAAAGGGTCTTATTTCGCAAGGGGCATCAAATCATGTCAGCACCTTGATTAAAAGCATGAAAAGATTTGGAAAATATCTGCCCAGTTGGAGGTACACATGCTTTGTAAATCCTGCAATCGAACAAAATCTGCACGACAGTTTACGAACCGGATGTCAATTTCATTTCGCTATTTTGATTGGACTATGCATCAACTCGTTAGTGCAGCCAAAATATAACTCATAATTGCAGCCTAGTTCGGCAAGGGTGGAAACTGGACTTTTATAGTCAGTTAACTCACCTGCCTTGGGAAGATGCAATGTTGGCGCTACACACTAAAAAGGTGTAATTTATGCATAAAGTGTATGACTTTTTCGAAATAGTGGTCTTTTTTAACAGTCATAGGAATATGCAATTTCCTGTTGTCACTATTTGAGTTTGGTACATGAAAATTTCATTTCACTTTTAAATGTTTCTCAGTATATATTTTGAGTGAGTGAGTGAGTGAATATTGCTTAACGCCGCATCAGCAATTTTGCAGCTATTCGCGGCATATATTTTGAACATCTTTTATTAATTTTCACATTTTCAGTGTGTGAAGGTAAGAAAATGACAATTTATTTTAAATCTCATAATAATCACTGAGCTGGTTACTTATATTTCATAATTTTATCTTTAGTAAGTAGTCTTAGTGTATTTATTGGTTGTGTTTAATTTACTCATTGAATCACACATATAAATTATAGGAATTTATTTGTAAAAACTACCTTGTGATGATGTGTATTATATGAAACGATAAATGTTTGCATTCAATTTTTTTAACATTTTGAAGTGAATGTCATTTTGCATAATTAATCTGGACAAACATAGAAATTACATAAAAAAATCTGAGGATTAATAAATGTTTTCAATCTCAATGAAAAGGAAGCGGGCAAACATTCTAATTTACATTTGTTAGTTGTTTAACGCGACACTCAGCAATATTACAGCCATTTGACAGCGGTCTGCAAATAATCAAGTCTAGACCAGACAATCCAGTGATTGACATCACGAGAATTGATCTACACAATTGGGATATGATGACATGCATCAACCAAGTCAGCGAGCCTGACCACCCGATCCCGTTAGTCGTTTCTTACGACAAGCATAGTCGCCTCTTACAGAAAGCGTGGGTTGCTGAAGACCCAATCTGACCCGGATCTTCACGGGTCTCCTGAATTACGACTGTTTATTGTCTAGCTAATGGTGAAATGATAATCACTACATCTGAAGATGACCAGAACTACTTTTCTGTCACACTTAAATTCCAAGGGGCACATCTGACATATTTATGGGTGCCCTCTGGCACACAGGGAAACAAATGCTTTCTTATCCCTACTAAGCCACAACTGTACATACACAATACAAAGCATAAGCAATAAGTTCATACACATCGGTACAGAAAATCAGAGAGCAGAACCTATTCATTGTATATATGGAGACAGCACATTCAGAAAAAATGCGAGTGATTCACACCAGCTTGCCGAGTTAACTTAATCGAGGACTATTAGCCAATCTAGGGCAGACAACCAATATCTTTTATAGACTTAGTAATTGTGGAATCAATTATTCCAACAATTGTGCAACGATAAATTGGTCAACGCCTATTTGAGTTAATGATCCAGTCCCAGCCTCAGTGGTAGCAGGATTGGTTGCACATCTCACAAGTTGAGATAGGCTGTACATGGCCACCAAAAGGAGGGGGAATATGGCCAATTAAACACTGGCTATGGATACCCGGCCATCCATTATAATGCAAGGGCATCAGCTGATAGCTCACTTAAGCATTCTAAGATTCAGATGTTACAATGTTTATCAAACATGGTGTCTCCCAAATGATATTTTGAGACCAGTTCAGACCTATTAATAAAACATTTGGCTTACTGACAGAAAAGAATCTAAATCAGAGGGATATATGTAGAAAATATAAAAATCCCAAATGTATCTTCTAAAGGAATCTCTCCAAAACATCGTCATTAGGGAGAAATCAATACCATATCGCGCCACATCTAAAACAAGTTTTTGAAACCTACAGAGATAAAAAGTGGGGTTGTTTATAGCTGGAGTCCAAGTTTTCCAAGTCTGTCCAGGTCCTACTGGCAATGTCACATGACCTATGGCAGCCATCTTAATCACTGTTCGTATTTAACAGGCTGATATTGTATCTGCAGTATTTGTATGTTGTTTAACGCTGCCTTCAGCAATATTCTAGCTATATGACGGTGGTCTTTAAAATAATTAAAAATAAATTAAAATAATTGAGTCTGGACCAGATCAAGTGATTAACATAAGAATCAATCTACACAATAGAGATCCGATGACATGCACTCACCAATATTCCACCTACCGTATTGGACGTAATAAGCGCCAAGGGCGCTCTCAAAATTAGAAATAGGGGTCTCTTATTAGAATATTATTTTGGTGAAAAAAAAACCAGAGTTGAAAGATAAATTTCATGGTTATGCTGACAGCCTGAAATGTTTATGTACGACAGATATATTTTTCCTGAATTTTATTGCCATATTTAAGGGTGCATTTAGCACACGAGTGCGTATAATACGCAAATAAATTAAGTCTTGTGTACATTGATCAATTGGAAGGGGTGCTAATTTGGATTGTTCACCAGCCAATATATCAGCAAATGTCACCGTGGATCCGATGACATGCATAAATTTTCAGTACATTTGCTTAAACAAATTAAATATTTGCACCGATATCCCCACTGCCTTGTAAAATACTCAATAAAACATCGCTGTACGAGTCTTCTTTACTACCCATATGGAAACATTCTAGGCAACTCAAAGCTATGCATATATGTGGTAATGTCAATATTGTTGCTGAAGCAGTATACTCCTCAGGGAGTTGAAATGGATCTGTTTACTTGATAATACCCCACAACCATGTGTTTATGTAATCAGCAGCAACACTCACAAATCTAGACAGATAGATGTACACTTGGGGATGCTGAGAACATCGCGCTGTTGGTTAAAGATGTCTTTTGAAAACACTCATCAAATAACGGTGACAGACGAAAGAACAGTAATTGCTCTACTCACCCTCAACAAACTCTCAAAAGAATTGGCCAGACTTTTCTTTGCTTTATTCTTGAATGTATCCAACTTCACAAGCACGCTCTTGTCGTCGAGGATGTTGAACTGAAATTAAGAGATTTGACTGTGCACTGGAAAGTTTTTAAAATGAACGTTCTTGGTGTTGATTGGTTATTACCAAGGGGAAGATCTACAAATAACAAATACCGTATTTGACGTAATAAGCACCCATGATGATATTTGCTAATACACTGGCTAGTGAATAATCCCAATTAGCACCCTTCTGATTGATCAATGTACACAAGACTTAGTTATTCATGTATAATACACACTCGTGTGTTATATGCACCCTTAATTACGGGCAATTAAATTCTGGAAAATATATGTGTCGTGTATAATACATACAGACTTTTCTTTTGTATCATTTCAGGCTGTCAGCATAAATCTTTCAACTCTGTTTTTTGTCTCACCAAAATTATATTCTAATAAGAGGCCCCTATTTCTAATTTTGAGAGCACCCTGGGCGCTTATTACGTCAAATACGGTAACAGCGTTGTTGTTCAATCAAGGAACATAAACATTCTCAAATCATCAATTTAAGCAAGAAAAAAGGAGTCATCTGAATCTTCATCCGTTCATGTCATTATTTTGACACATCAGTGAGGGAGATAATGTCTGCAAGATACCAGTCATATCAGCTATGTACCTATACCTGCTCTGAGGCGGATATTCGGCCCCAAATCTGCAGCAAGTGTCAACACAATTCCCAAATTGAAGAATATCCCAATTCATGTTAATTTAACTAATAACTACTTTTATGGCTTTACAAAGGTAATTTGTATTTCACTGAAAACAGGACCAATAATGAGGCTGAGGCTTTAACACTTAGTTTTCTATTATTGCATTTAATGCAACACTAAATAAATGTTAAAATACATCTGAATTTAAGAAAATAAGGACTTAAACAAAAATCCCAATTTTGAAAAAAAGAACAATTTTCCCCCACTTTTGCCTACCATGGGCACTTAGTTAAGAATCCATGATAAATCCCTGTCTGTAATGGTAGTCATGGTAATATATTGGGCCAGGCAAAGCTGTGGTCGTGAGCATGAGCATCTATTCACACTGTCGGGTCGCAATGACCTACAGTCAGACAGGTGACATGTTGCAACCACCTGTTCTTAACTAGGCAATACCATGTGGGGAATAGGTCCCCAAGCCTATGCTAGTAGTAAGAGGAGACCAAATGGAATGACTGGTGAGACTCTGTGACTTTGTTCATTGCGTGTCATTGTTCCCCAACAGTGTGTGACATTCATAATATAAATCACTTGTTTGTCTGGTCCAAACTCGATTGTATTAAGGCTGCATCAAATACCTTGAATACTGCTGAGTGAAGAGTTAAAAAAAATTAATTTTTTTTTGTGGCTTTGGGTACGGAGGACATATTCTGCCCTAGAATCCCCATGAGGTTATTCAGTATGACTCACGGTGGACTGAATGTATCCTCAAGTCAATCGGTAATTTTACAGAAAGCAGCTGCTTGTCAATAATTGTGTCTAGACCCAACAAACCAATTATTGATAGCCACATCACTGGGAAACGTATGTCATGCAGTCATCCAGGTCATACATTGTAACTACCAAAACTCATTTCTGTTACTGGCATACAAGAGAACCATTCTGCCATTCAAATTACCATGGATGATTTAGAGTGAGCAAGTCAATTGGGTTTTACACTGCTTTTAGCAATATTCCAGAAATATCCTGATTTGTTGCTTATGCTGTACTCAGTAAAGTTCCAGCTGTGACGGCAGCCTGAAATCACTGAGTCTGGACCAGACAACCAGTGATTGATATTGTGAGTGACAAATAACAGCAGTTGTGTAAAATGACATGATATGAACCAATGACCACCAATCCATTAAGTCGGCTTGTGCAACAATCACAGGCCAATGCCCACAGGGAGATATATATCTTACAACCATTTTCATACCTCTCATTTGAATTTTTATTTTGATAATTAAGAAAATAGGAAAGACTAAAAGTTGAGCTGCATGAAAAGTTGAGTAAAATCCCAAAAAGAGAATTTACATTCAACTTAAAGAATACAGATCAATATATTTATGTATAGGAGAATGTCCGAAATCTCGCGATTATTTTTGCACTTGGAGCACGAGAACAAGTTTCACGCGCGAAAATAATCGAGAGATTGAAGACTTTCTCCTACTTAAAACAAAGTTTGATCAAGTTAATGCCTCAATCTAATCTTCAAGTGGTGTTCACTATACTATGCTATACTATGGGAGGGTGACCGCTCTTGTTTAACTGTGGGAGGGGAACCTTTCAAGGAAGACTATGGGACGATTTAGTATTCAAACCATTGGAGTGTTAGCAAAATCATTGCATCTATCCAACTGTCATTAAAGTTCCCGTAATTTTGTTTTAATTCTAACAACATCAATGCCAAAAGAGTATAACGTAATATCATTTATTTTAAATTATACATATGGGTACATGAGACAATGTATTCTGCATCAAACAGAAATGAATTCATGTTGGGCTGGCGGGCAGATTTTCACATGCATTTTTAGCCTGATTATGGACATAACTTCATCTAACTCTCGATCTAATAATCATATTTATCCGAAATAGTCCTTTTTTCCCAAACAACCAGGGTTCTGCATGACATTTCATGTGCAGCCCCTGTATGCCCCAGGCAGATATACAGCTTATGCAATGTAGGGGAGACAACTCACGTCATTCTTGCACTGCTTAGCTCCTTCTGAGATGTGCACATGTTCCTTCTGTTTCCTCTCACACAACTTCCTCAACTCAATCATGAGGATCTCGACCATCTCATCATATCCCTTGGGGTTCTCCACCTGGGGTTAGCACACAAACCATTACTTTAAATCTCATACTATAATAGGTAATCAGTTGTACCAAGACTCTGGCAACAAAATCAAGGCAACATTATAGGACAAAAAAATGCTGTCTGTAAGGTTTGTTGAACAAAAGGAGCAAATCTCTTTATTTTAATTTTTTTTGAAATACTTAACTAAAAACTGAAAAAATAAAAAATCTAAACTTTTCCAAAAATGAATTCTGTGGGCCCGGTTCAGAATCAAATTCAAAATAAATTTACAGCTGAGAAACATCCATACCATAAAAGAGATATCCACACATAATTAAATAAAGGCCATTGCCAAAATAGTTCATTGTTAGTAGTTTTAATTGTGACAAGCACACACGTGTGTATTACTTTGACTCCACACGTGGAAGAGTTATCTGACCTTGAGGGTGTTGGAAATGGCTGCTATTTCACACTCAGTGAGGTTCTGCACTCTCTTCACAAGAAGGTCATAGGCTGCATGGGGACTTAAACCTGGGGAGGAAAAGTACCAGCTGATATTCATAATACCTCGAACTTTGCAACTCAACTATTCAAATATATTTTTGCTTTTATACTGTTTATTGTTTTTTATAATACCTTATTTGGCTGTGTATAAGGCGAGTTTTTCGTACCTAGAATGAGGGGGCTAAAAGGGTGTCGTCTTAAACACGGAGTCGAAGATCTCACGCTTTTTTCCAATCGTTTCACTTTCAGCTTCCACTGGCAATGTCAACCGGTGTTCGACAGCCAGCCCAGCATTTGACAATAAAACTTTGCATTTCGTCCTAAATAACTGTTCCAATAACTATAAAAAAGTTAAATTACTTTAATTACAGCACATTATATTTCTTGACAAGGGTTTGGTACAATGGATACGACTATGTGTCCCTCCTGACGCAGCATATTCTATTTTCTGCATCCATTCTATACATATGCATAAAACCCTGAGGCATGAGGTACAGTGCAGTGGGCTGCTGGGCTGGGACGGGTAACTCGGGTACTCGGGTCGGGTGGGTCCTAAGTAGGACCCGGGTACCCACAGGACTACCCGGACCCATGGTTTAATGACAAAAATTATCAAAAAGTCTATGGTTACACTATAAGTCACTAAGGTTCCCATTTCTTTCTGACTATGCACCCATTCCTTCTGACTTTTATATGTCGGAATAAAAATAAAACTTCATGCAGTAAACTTCAGTGTAAGCATGACCAGATTGCTTTACACATATATCTGAATACATTCTGTTAGGGCTACGGTCAAACTTTTCCAAATCGGACAGTTTGTACCTATCTCTAGATATCTACAGTGGGTACCCGGGTAGGGTCGGGTAATAGGAAGGTGGGTACCCGGGTAGTTAATTTGGACTCGTCCCAGCCCTATTGGCTGCTTAATTTTTGCACACTGACCATTAATTTCCTGACAGAGTTTCTCCAGCTGATGAAGAGGACATCGAATACAGATCTGGTTGTGAGATGCTGAACGAGCAGGGCCGCTGCTGCTACACGTCTTTGACGCGATGCTGTCTTTGTGGGCAGTTGCAAACGCCGTCTGTAGGGCGCACATGATTTCTGATACCTGTAAACAGAGAAGAACATTGAAAGGGTTTGTCTTGCACCGAGTCCTCGGCAAGGTTTTCCATGATGCAAGAATCATTTGATCAGGATGCAATTAGACCCATGGAAGTGACGTGTAAAAATCATTTCCAGTGTATTTGAATCATTAACATGTACCTCTTTCATTATTTACCAGTAATTCATAGAAAGAAGTGAAACAAGAGTTCTTCTATACTTAGTAGCTTTCTAACATAACAAATATCTTCAACCCGTGCAGCTTCTGGAGAAGAATATAGGTCCCGAGTAACCTATGCTTGTCGTACGAGGCGACTAAATGGATCAGACTCAGTGACTTGGTTGATTTCCTGTCATTGTTTCTCAGTTGCGTGGATCGATGCTCATGATGTCAATCACTGGATTGTCTGGTCCAGACTTGATTATTTACAGACTGAAGTCATATTTCTTAGTGTGGTGTTAAACAACAAAAACAAATATTTCTGCTTGTGGGTCTTCATGACCCACATATTTCAAAGACAAGGTTGATGACACAACTAGTGGTCATCCTCACTCTGTTTTTATCCTCTTTGCTTGATTCAGTAATTATTTCATCATTTCAAGTTTCATTTTAGGGGAAATAATTATTGCACATTTTTAGTCAGACTTATAGGTTTTTTTTCAAGAGAACTTATTGCTCAAGGTGGTAAATTATACACCAGGGTTTCCCCTGACGCAGAATTCTTGTGTATATGACTCTCAATTAAGGAAAAATACGTCCAGAAATAAATGGCTGCGTCATGACTGACGCAATTTCAAAATATCTATGTTGTTGTTTACCAGCTTTGGAATGAAAATGTTAAAACTACTCACCTGAACTTAATCTATAAACATTTTCTGAAGACAATATCTGCAAACATCTTAAAATTTACGTCTAGTTTTTAATTAATCGTCGTTTTTAGAAGTAACATAACTTCGCATAACACCACTGCCACGGGCTAATTTGCATAGCCTGTCACATGACCAGACTTTTCTCTCGTTTTAAAACAAATGCTAAAATCAGAACAGCCGGGGGCTTTACATATTGTTTTGCATAATTATATAGATATGCTACTAAAACTGTGCGACTTTGAGGCACACGACAAAATATATTTATTCATCAAAGTGAAAGTAACTCTCACACTCCGTGTGGCTTCGATGTCAGCACGTCATGTTAACAAAGGAAATCTCCGCAAATGGACAAGGTTATTTACGTTTCGGCATATTTTCTCACTAAAAGTTAACCATGACATATGTTTATCTAGATGTGTAGATTCGTAAAAAATGAAACAGAAGAAAATATAATCATTGTTGCGGTGAATATTTTGATTTGGCGCGGTCACTGTATGTGGTTAAGCGGAACCTTTTGAACAGGGTAAACGGAAGTTGTAAGTATCGGAGGGACACATGTTTTTGCCAAAATTTAGGTAAACATTATTGAATGAAATTTTAATACTATTAATAAAATAGATGACAAACATAAGGTCAGATATACAGAGAACACATTTTTATTACCAGATAGTGTAACAACAGGATTAACTTGCGTAATTCAATTCGGATTTGTTATGCTATTTCCGATGACGGATCATGACAGCCTGAAATGAGACTGAAGAAAAGTCTGTGCGTATTATACACAAGAGATATTTTTTTCAGGATTTAATTGCCCATAATTAGGGGTGCGTATTATACACGAAATAAATATGGTATATACGAAATGTAAAGCTTTGGGCATGTTTGTTGTTCCTAATAAACTGTATTCAACCAGAAAATATTACGAGTGTTCACAATTCTTCAGTTCAACTTCACTGTTGATAGATAATACAAGATAACTAGATAAAAGATGTAAATGAGTTAGTGGTATTAAATTATAATCTGACATGAAATGTATTTAATATCCATCCATGATTAAAAATTATGTTTCACAGTTGAGACTGATGTTATTTATTCATCCTGTATAAGGGTTACTGTAAATTGTTTCATGAGCTGTGAAGTAATTAAGGACTGTGAAAAAATATAACCATCAAACTTTGTTTTTCATTCATATATCCTTTATTTCTCTGTAGTACAATCAGCTGAGAAAATTAATTAGCACTTGTTAACTTAAACTAAAGACATATAATATTTAAAAGATACTTAACTTTAAGTGTAACATTAACAGTGAACACTTTAAATTTCATTAATCATACAATAAAACATTTGACTCTCAAAACATATTTTTGACTCCCCAAAATTCATAGGCTGAGTCAAGGTGACTCTTAGATATTGGAGTCTAGGGGGAACCCTGTATACACTAATTTATAAAGTCAGAAACCATTTAATGCGTAATTTTGCCATTTTTCACATATAAACAAGTAAAGAAATTCATTAGAAATTCATACAAACTGTACAGGGAGATCACATGACAATAATATCCCAGCTGTCTTATTTGTTTGCCCACCATTTCCAAACATAACTTACATTTGCTAATGAGCTCTGCAAACAAAATTTGGTTTGTACACAGTCAAAACCTGTTTACTTATGTACACCATACAATATTCATGACCTTTTCTTCATGTTAGCCTTTGATAAAAGTACAGACATTTCCTGAAATTTGAGGTATGTTATAGATTTAATACCCATTTATTATTATGAATAAGCACCTTGATAAGACGTATCAAATTCATGACAACAAAACCTCAAAATTCAGGTGTTCACAAAGAGGGTTAGCATGTCCAGCCCTACCAGTAGCACCCGCCATTCACACAGTTTGCATAAAAAAGTAGGTTTGTCCTGGGCTGCTGCAATTCAACATGTACATATTGTATGGAAATATTTTTGTGACATCCATTTTGAAGTTGATCATTACTCACACCAACTGGTATATTTCTTATTCACATATTTTTGAGTGAAGAGGAGAATGAATATTTCACACCTACTTACACAAGGAGCGCCAATTATTTTCTAACTCGAAAATTAGAAATATTTTTCCATATTCTCTTGACATTTCAATCAAACTGATGAAATATCAAAGAAAAAAGATTTGGGTCTATTATTTTTATCTTTTCATCTTATTTTGCTGAAACTCAGCTCATTAGCCAAATAACAAAATAACTAAAAAACATCAGGGCATCAGTCCCTGATGAGAAAATACAAAATGTAAAGTAATATTCTCTTTGTGAAAGAAGGTAGGTGATATTTTGACAAACAAATAATCTAAAGAAGCTGGAGCATGTGTGAAATATCAATAACCTTTTAACAATAACATCACTGTCCATTATTGTTCATAGCCCTCAGGCAACTCCTTTTCTGATTAGCTCTGGCCACGCCTTCTTTAATACACGAAAAGAGCATTAAAACCATGGGCCATCTAAAACACACTGTGGTATTAATCTCCTCATATCCACCTGAGTCGCTGACACAAAGTGGATAATTGTACCTATTCTAATAAGGAAAACTGCATAGACATTGCAGGGAAGTTTATTTGCCTGTGAGATAACATCTCTGGCAAGCTGCCAGGAATGGAGTACTTTTCATATCAACAGACTGTGAATGCTTTAAGTCATGTTCTTGTGTTTCAAAATCTCATACTGTCTTGAGATTTATCAAAACAATCATAACTGTTATATTTGCTCCAACCACTTAAGACAAATCAGGCCATTTCACCAACACATTGCACAAAATTTAGGGGTTTCCCCCTTGATAAAGAACTGAATGTATTACTTATTGTTGAGTTGATGAGTTTGACACTGTGTACAGTATTCCAGGTGTCTGTGAGAAAAAAGCTACAAGTGATATATATTCTTTATATCACACAAATGTTCTTTGGTAAAAGCCATGAGCATGGACATGGTCCAGACAAACAAACGACCACAAATGGGGTGAATCTGGAAACCAACCCATGACTAGTGCATCCTGCCACCTTGATAAGGGACATTACTCTACACAGCAACTTACTGCCTCTACACGTTCCCTCAAATAGATACAGGATTTGTTCAGGAATGTCACTGCCTATCTCACCAGACCAGGTATGTAACACTACCGAACAAGTAGAATGTTCAAGATAGTTGTCTGAAGTTTTCAAGACACACACATAATTTTCCAGAAAATAATATTTAATATTGTTGCTTTTTATAATAGTATAATTCAGAACCTTACTCACAGTTTTGGCCTCGATTCTTAACTCACACAAAAAACTTGTCAAGAGAGGAAGTGAGGTACATATGCGTGTACAGTACGTGAGTTGTTACTTATTTCCAAGGTGTGAAAATGTACCATTCTTGATTAGAATGCCAGCTCAATCATACCCTATTTGCCACCGATACCCTGACCTACTTTCTAAAAAAGTATTGTGCAAAATATTAACCAAAAAACTCAGGACATATAATCCCAACAGAGTGTTTGTCCAAAGACAAATGACAGCCCTTCATGACAGCATCAGCATGGTATAAAGGCAAAATTCACATTCACTCAAAGCAATATTAACTCAGTCATTATCAGTATATGAAGCAATATTCACTCTCATTATCTATATGATATGAAACAATAATCAAGCACATATTATCTGTAAAATATGAAGCAATATTCACTCATTCATTATCAGTATGATGTTTAGCAATATAAAATCACGATGTATATGTGGGTACAAAGGGTGAAGCCATTTCTGGTGTTCCCCACTGTGATATTGCTGGAATATTGCTTAATGTGGTGTAAAACTATACTCACTCACTCACTATGTATATGAAATGAAGCAATAATTACTCTCATTATCAGTATGATATTCAGCAATATTCACTCACTTGTTTATAATACGAAGCAATATTCACTCACTCATTATCAGTATGATATAAAGAAACATTCACTGACTATCTATATCTGAACAATATTCACTCACTCATTATCAGTATGATATAAAGAAAACTTCACTCACTAACTATATCTGAACAATATTCACTCGCTCATTATCAGTATGATATAAAGAAAAATTCATTCACGATATCTGAACGATATTTACTCACTCATAATCCATACAATCATAATGAAGCAATATATTGTCTCATTCACCATCAGTATCATGTATAGCAATATTAAGTCACTATGTACATGATACGATGCAATATTCACTCACTCATTATCAGTATCATATAAAGCAAAATTCACTCACCATCTATACATGAAGCAATATTCTCTCACCATCTATACATGAAGCAATATTCTCTCAAAATCTATACATGAAGCAGTATTGACTCACCCAATATCAGCATGATGTAAATCATTACTCACTCCTAACAGTATGATATGAATCGATATGCACTCTCACTCCTTCTCAGTATGGTATAAAGCCATATTTACCTTTCACACCTTTGACCACCATCAGTGTGGAATACAGCAACTCACTCACTAAGTATCATTATGGCATACAGCCATATTCACTCTCACTCATCAGCTAGTTATAAAGCAGTGTTCACTCACACACTCACCATCAGTCTGAGGTTACCACAGTCTAATTATAAAATCGGAGAAAATAGCAGTAGCAACTATGTTGGATTGATTTTCCCCCCCCCGACATTATCTGTATGGTAAAAGCAGTTGCTCTTTATCAATTTGAACTTACCACTGCTTCACTGTAGCATCGGAGAATATAGCAGTTGAAGACATGTGTCAGCTCGGCCTTGTTTTGATCTCGACTTGGAGCAGACGTCAACTTGGGCTCCCGAGCAATGATACCAAATACATCCTGCTTGCTACTTCCCTAAAATTGAAATAAATATGAATCAGCAATCTTTCAAATTCATTCTCCACTTGTCTCACTTCCATGGAGTGACATACTTAACAGGCAATAGTCCAGATAAGACACTGTTGGTCAAATCCAAGCACTCCATAGCTCCTTTTGGACTAGTGGTTCATGTAAAATAGCTAGATTTTGGTAGAAAAGAAATAGTCACTTTGTAATTTTACTGATCTTAAACAAAAAATATCCAGGTTTGCAATATGTCACATGGTTTATTGAGTACGGCCATCCCCAAAAGGTAATGTGTTTTTAAACATAAATTCAAATAAAAAGAAACCACATACAAAGTCTATACTGATTTAAACAAGAGAAGAAGATCAGAAGATAACAAATCCCCCCCGGCCTCCACAATAACAAAAGGCACCACTTAAGCCCCTGGTTAATACATGGACCAAGTTTGGATTAAAAGTTTTTCACGGTCTTTCACGGAAACAAAATACGGGTGGAAAGACAGGCAAACGGACGGACGGACGGACAGACAGACAGAGAGACCAGATGATGACTTTATGCCCCCACATTATATGCTGGAGGGGATAAATATAATAATATGGACTTTCTACAGGTTTGCATTGAAAAATTTAGACATACAAATGAAAAATGAAAAAAATAAATTACATGCTCATTTACTCACTCAAACTATCAGTTTGACAAAGCAATCAATCATAAAATTCTGTAATGAACTATTTGTTTAAAGAAAAAAAGAAAACGGTCCGTTGATGAATTGTCAAGAATTCTGGAGTACAAATATATCATCAATGTATGCTAAAATGTCACAATCATATACTGAAATACTGTGAAAACGATTACCGTATTCAACGTAATAAGTGCCCCGATCTAATAAGCGCCCACGGTGATATTTGCAAATATATTGGCTAGTGAACAATCCCAATTAGCACCCCTTCCGATTGATGAATGTACATAAGATTTATTTATTCGTGTATAATACGCACCCTTAATTATGGGCAATTAAATTCTCGAAAATATATCTATCGTGTATAATATGCACAGATACTTCTTTTATATCGCTTCAGGTTGTCAGCATAAACCACAAAATTTCAATCTTTCAACTCTGTTTTTTATCTCACCAAAATTATATTCTAATAAGAGACCCCTATTTTTAATTTTTAGAGTGCCCTGGGCACTTATTACGTCAGATACGGTAACCAACTTTAACTCAAAATCAGAAAAGATGTGCTCAAGTCAATCCCCCCACACGATGAAGGAGATTTGAACATGTACGACGACATTCAGTGTTTCTGTTTACCGGTAATTTCCAGTTTTTACAGGTAAAAGTAGGCTTGGACTGGTAATTCATGTGACTGCCAGTCCCTGTGGACCAGCAAATAAAGTACCTTATAAATCTTGTTGTAGAACAAAACATTGGCGATATTCAAATAAGTATATTTTTCTAACAAAGTCAGCTTGTCTGTTACCATCAGGGTTTCTTGTAGTCTATTTTTAGAGCAAGGAAATAACATTTCGCTTTGCTTGGAGGTTAAATATATATTTGTAGCGACTTAGTCCTGAAATATTAATAAAAGAGAGATAATTGTGACTGAGCTTTGTGTGAATAACGCCTGGATCAAAATAAGTTACTTCAGACACGACGTCATTGAAATCAATCATGATGTTGAAATAATTAAAACCAGGTAATTTTCATATGTTTTTGGATTTGTTGAAAGTTGTGACTGACAAAAAGTAGGGGAGACTGGTAATTTTTAGAGTTGCCAGTCCACCAGGACAGTTCAAAAGCCAGCGGGAACACTCGACATTGCTGTGTTTGATTATCTCATGCCTAAACACCAAGACAGCTTAATTCAATTTTTGTGGCCATTTTGCCAAATATTACAAAGAAATTGAACATGTGTTTTCGGAGTATTTTGGTGTATGTTAACTTCTCTTACCCTACAATACATTGAGGAGTTGTAGGTCAAGCCATCTTCACCATGTTAAACATAGTGATGTATTCTTTGTCTTGCGGGAAAAAAAACCTACCTCATTTTCTTGTGAATAGTATATCCATTTAAAATAAACATGATATTGAAGAAGGGCTTGATTGTGATTGGTTAAAAAGGGGTTTCCTTTTAGCTACGGAAATATCTTTAAAACACATAAAGTCTTTGCACACAAAAAAAACGTGATTATGAATACATTGATAGGCTATATATTGATTCAATCCCTCGTGTCAAAAAAGCCGGCTCGTCTGGACCTAAAAAATTGATGCTCAGTCATTATATCTCCAGTTCCATTGGCAATCACATTGTACCTGGTCAGGTTCATTTCCTAAAGCGCTTGGTTCCTAATTAAAATAAGAGGTATCTACTCTACAGTGGGACTACATCAAATTTCCAAACAGTTGGTTTATCTCCTAACTATACACCTGTGTTGAGGTAGGTGCGCATAAATATCCTGTAATATACCAAATAGTTATTTTTACATTAAATATTTATAGTAAAAGCTGCAAATAATAACAAGATATTTGTATATACTTCCAGGTAAAATAATAGCTTCAGATACAACTCCTTCTGAATCACCAGTAGATCTAGGATAAAATGTATGTACAGCCGATTGCTATTGCAATTAAAAAAAGTGTTTAGCATGACAGGAAATACAATTGAAATAGCAAATCATCAGTCTAGTGATGTTTTATCGCAAATTTCACATTCTTATGGACCAAGTTCTAATGTTCTGGTCATTCCCTGAGGCGATACGATGTAGTGTTTGACTGCACACAACATGCAAAATAGCAATTTCCCCCAAAACAGTGTAGGGGTTCTGCATGATACTCGAATGCACGCACTAGTCTGGACTGATTCTGGTTTCATAGTGCTAGCCCACTGAGATACCAAGCCACAGTTTAACACGAATACCCCACTCAGACACCACACTATACGGTCTCCAGGTTGACCAGTCCTTGTTTTAGCCCGGACAGTCAGGGTAAAAACAAGTACCATCTTTAAACATCTTTTGGTATGACGCGACCAACAAACTGACCGATATAACGAACATATTTTTAGTCCCGACCATTTCTTGTATATACATGATATATGGTGTATATATGCTCATAACGAACTACGATTATAACAAACTAAACTTAGTCGTCCCTTTGATTTCGTTTTAACCGTAGTTTACTGTGCTTCATAACGTCATGGCTAGATGTTGAGTGCTTTCTAACCTATTGTATATTGTTCATTGCTTAACACTGCACTTAGCAATATTACAGCTATATGACAGCGGTCTGTAAATAATCAAGTCCGGACCAGACAATCCAGTGATTGACATCATGAGCATCAATCCACGCAATTGGGATACGATGACATGAAGCAACCAAGTCACTGAGCCTGACCACCCAAACCTGTTAGTCACAAGTGTAGTCACCTTTTAAGGCAAGCATGGGTTGCTGAATAGAAAACAACTAAGCCCTCTAGATAATAACTTGTGACTACTAGTGGTCGTGTCCTATAATCCCTGGATCCTAAGTTTCTGGCACGAATAAGTGACACTCCTCGATCTGACCGGCAAGGAAACCCGTCATCTCACAACAATATCAATGCGGTTGTCTGCATTACCAGAGACCAGCGATGTTGTGAGATGAGCAACGATAAGCATAAGTGTCTGCAGTCTGCCACTGGTTGCATTTTTGTGTTTGCCTGTCATTTGCCTGGCTTTCGGATGAATAATAATTGTGAATTGTTAGGTTACATTGACCTAAGCCTTCACCATAGTTATGTTGGAGGAGGAATGAAATGTTTTGAATTCTGAAAATTCCATAGCCCAAGAGAACGAAAAGAGGAAGGAGGAGAGAGATTGTAGGGTCACTAGACCACCAGCTCCCCTTGACCCCCCCCCCCCCCCCACCATCCCCTCCATTTGAACAAGGCAAAAATGTTTACAATGTTTACATTTTCTGCCAGTATTTTTAAATTCTGATTTGAAGCAAGATTGATTTGGTTTGGTCTGTTGTTTAACGCCGCACTCAGCAATATTCCAGCTATATGACAGCAGTCTGTAAATAATCGAGTCTGGACCAGACAATCCAGTGATTAATATCATGAGCATCGATCCACACGATTGGGATCGATGACATGCATCAACCATGTCAGCGAGCCTGACCACCCGATCTCGTTAGTCGAATCTTACGCCTTTTGCGGCAAGCATGGGTTGCTGAAGACCTATTCTACCCCGGATCTTCGTAGCAAAGTCAAGAACTTGTTCAGAAATATAGTCCTCAATGTTACTCGTCAATGAGGACTACCATCATTGGATTTTTGCTTGACCTCAGCACAATAAGCAGTACTTAGCCAGCAGGCTAGCTTGAATTTTGAAGGCTTACAAATAAAAGCCCGAATCAGAGACCATATACTGAGGGATAGGCCTGTATATGGCCTGACAAAATCATTCAGCATTCAAAGGATAAAATACTTGTCGCTAACTGTGATTTTGACAACCCAAACCCACACCATGGTAAGAATTAAGCATTCCATGGATTATTGTTGTAAACTGTCCAGATTACCCCCGAACCCCAGCTAGCCAAGGTCATGATATTGCATAGTGAAGGTGGAATAACTGTTGTAAATTATGAACATGTATCCATCTCATAACTGCCACAATATATACAGTCAGCGAGCCAGCACTCCAGCTGAGAATTTATAACATGCAATGACTTTTGTTACCCGCGTATCAATCAATGTCAAGAAAGATTTGAGGTTTGTACTAAATAATCGAAAAATCAATATTCATAGTTTTAGCCTTACTTATATATGCGACACTCTAAACAATGCTTTATGACCTTTTATCAAGGAAACTAAGCTTAGCATACTCCGAACAGTGGCTAGCTGTCTAATTTCAGATCAAAGGGGCTGGTAAAATGTAAATTGTCCCTGTAAATATTGGCCTTTTCTGAATGACTTGATGATTGTAACATGATTTATACATAAATCCTAGTACTTGGCCTATATTGTTATTTCAATGGGACAAAGGTATGGAGTAATGGCCCTATTAAAACACTACCATAGGAAATCATACAGTATATCGGTTTTCCGGATAAACAGGGTGCATGCATAAATCGGTCTGTACTGATTCAATTTAACCTTTTTTAAAAATAAAAAAATGTCATTGTTCAAATCCATTTTAGAAGTTTGTGAAGATGTAAATCTGACATGTACATTATGATTTTCTTTAAGATAATTATTTTTGGTATAGTGACACACATTATATTTTCAGACATGACATGACAAGAATCAGGTAATTACGACCTATATTTCCCCAGAATCTCTGGACATGCATTAGGTTTACAGTGGACTTGACCTACCTGAGACACAAATGAAATGTCCTTGAACTTCCTCTCGAGAACTGGCTGCTTCTTGTCTGGGCTGATGAGCGTGAGATCCTTCCTGCCGATCTGCAGCAGCATCACCCGACTTGCCTCATTTCTAGGAGCTTCATTCTTTAAGACGTTTGACGATCGAGAAACAAACACTTCATGCTCTTCCTCGCCATTCAAGTGCTCCTTACTTCCGTCACTATCGGCACTCTGACCGACCTTAAGGTCAGGTCCTTGACACGAATTTGACAAACCATTGGAACTCCCATGAACATTCTCAGAAGAACTGCCATAGGTATCACCACTTGCAAGTTCATCTGTGCTGCTCTCGGCACTGTCATAATGGAGTTGAAGTCGTTCCTGTTGCCGACATAAGTTATTTTCCGTAACACAAACCATATCCTCAAGAGACGCAGGTAAACTCCGAACACTCGTTCCGCTTGCATGTCGTTGTCTTTGTTCCTGCTCCTGAGCACGGAGCTTCTGCTCATCTCCTCTCGCGTCAAACCTTTCCACAAGTTCGTCGATGAATGACGTTGGGACTTTTCTTGTTGCAACCTGAGTTCGGCCAATGAACATGACCTCAAAGAATGTTTTTGATTGGTCAAATGTCCCTTCTCCCATGTTGGAGGGTAAGTTGACAACCTTTTCGTGAGTCACTTCTTTCGATAAGTCTTTTGTAGCTTCTCGTATGGAGTTAAATATTTCTGGGACCTGAAATCATAAAGAATATATAAATAATTACTGTGTACTTGTAAACAGTTTGCTTTTTACACCAAGTAAACCTGATATGATCAACATGGGTGGGGTGGGTGGTTGAGTGAGTGGTTGAGTGAGTGGTTGAGTGAGTGAGTGGTTGAGTGAGTGAGTGGTTGAGTGAGTGAGTGAGTGAGTGAGTGGTTGAGTGAGTGGTTGAGTGAGTGAGTGGTTGAGTGAGTGAGTGAGTGAGTGGTTGAGTGAGTGAGTGAGTGAGTGAGTGAGTGAGTGAGTGAGTGAGTGAGTGAGTGGTTGAGTGAGTGAGTGAGTGAGTGGTTGAGTGAGTGAGTGAGTGAGTGGTGGGTGAGTGAGTGAGTGAGTGAGTGGGTAAAACCATGAATAGCCTTCACACATTGTAGCCAATCATCAAACCTGCACCGTTAAACAATAAACAAACAAAATCAAACCCGTTTTTTAACATGATCACAAAACACTTAACCACACAACTACCTAACTACCCTTCCCCTTCTTTAAATAAGAGGAACTCCTATATTCTGTTGCTGTAGACTACCTGACATAAAACATCCATTCAAACGCGTCAGTGACAAAACATCACACCACAGCTCCACAGCACCAGAGGACACAATGTGCACATACAAGAACACTTTATATATGATGACAGTGAAGCCTCATTACCACTTTCATCAATACCAGTTTTTGCTTTCCGGGTGTAGAAGATCTAACAAGTCAGTATCATCCATCAGATGAACTGTCACTGCACACATGGTAATGACAAAACACTACCATGCACAATGTAACACAATACGTCATTCCAATTGTTATTGATATCAACATTGTGTTGTTGTGTATTCCAGAGTTCATTATGTTGGTCATAGTTTACACTTAAGTCTCTTTGACCTCTGCAATTCAAAATATTCATTGTTTCGTAATCTTTCTTCTCAGAATGTTTGTCATTGAGACAAGACTAAAGGTTAAAACCAGTTTTCAATAAGTACAGGTCAATATGTATATTTATCATACTCAGGTAGTTGACACGCCGTACATTACTTATCCTGAGGCTGTATACAACAAGGTCAGGTGAAACGGTGTACTTTATTACCAGTGAGAGATATAGCACTGCAGTTATATACTTCATAACGTCATGGCTAGATGTTGAGTGCTTTCTACCCTATTGTATATAGGATCATATGGTCAATACTAGTCTGTCACACAGACCTTGAAACAAGTATATCCAATACAGCCCATCAAGTCTATAATATTTGGCAAGTCTAGATTAATGCAGTTTCAGGTCTCTTGGCTCCTTTTTATAAAATTTAAGAATTGATTTTGCTGTAAAATATGTTCAATTCAGAGACTAGATGTTAGTCTAGGTCGTTACTATAAAAACGGAATGAAATAGAACAAGAACTGGGTAACTAATTCCATCAATTATGCTACTTTACGGACTCTACTGTTACAAATTGGACATGACAGCCATGGCAATAACATGTCTATAATAATTCTGCCTAAAGATGCAAATGTAATATAAATGATATATTTTTATGTACTGTAGATGACTTTCACCCAGCTTAAAAAAAGAGATCATGTTCAGTGCAAAATGTTATTGTTTATCACCACAATAGCAATTTTGTACATAGCTATTCACTGTGAATCACAACGGCGCCTCTGAAAAAATATACACTTTTACCAGCTTGGAATAAAGATAAAACATCGCACTGGCATAATTTGTGACTTTTAACCCCCCCAAAAAACATATTTAGTTTCAACAATCATTTCATGCTTCTATTATTTCCTTATATAATATTTCAGTTTTAATTTCATCTCAGGTAAAATCGAACAATGTAAATATCCTGACCTCAGAGGCTAATATGTTATCAAATATTTGGGAGTTACAGCACACACGTTATAGTACACAACATCTACCACATCCCTGACACGAACCCATCACTTCCTTCCCTATGCCCTGGCACGACTCACGCGGTAGATATAAGCCTATATTGCTGTGTATGACGAGTGTCAGGAGTTAAAGGTTTATTCCCTGTGACTTCTAATCACTGTCAGGTGATAACTATTAATATACGACAGTACAGTACGTGAGCAGGCTGGTGATGACAGGATGATAGTTTCCTACAACTGCCTGATTAGATATTGGCATATTGATGCGGACTCTTAGCAGGCCTACAACAATTGATTCTTGTTGCAGGTCCGATCTGCTGAACGACCATCTGAAAGTATGCCAAGTCCTGAGAGGAATAAACACCTGCCTTGAATACACCTCCAGTCAGCTGCACCTTCTGAATAAACATGAAACCAATGGAAACAAGGCTTACCAGTAGGCTTTAAACAAACAACCCACAATGATACCAATAACTATAATACACTACTCTATTGTACCATCACATCAACAATCCAAACACCCTCTTATAAACACACCAAAATACCAGCACACACATACTACTCAAAAGAAGTAAAAAACACCCCATTCATTTATATCCCTATAGTTAATCTATCATGACATGACAGTTCCTACTGTAATATAAAAGAAGCAGGTGTTCTTTAAATTCTTGTTAGTAGTATATATTATACATACACTATTCTTCAAACCTTAAATATCATATTTCAAATTGGTCATCCCCGAGTGAGAAATCAGCTTCACTTGAAGCACTCATAAAATCTTTAACAAAAGTAGACACTTGGACCATTACTTCCATATGCAACAAAAAACCCATACTTTGTTATTTCAGAGAAGCAAATATCATGTTTAAGTTTAGATTTGGAAATAAGCCATTTTCAATTTGTTGATGTGGTGTTAAGTTTGAAAAGAGGGTATTAACTGAGTGGTTGATTTTTTAATTTAATTTTTGTTGCATTTTGTTGGTTGCTTGATTAAGGCTATTTGAGACATTACTCATCATTAAAATTTATGTCTGATGCAGTTCCCTGTTCAGACTTATACCGTATGTTCCCTAGTTTGCTCAGGTGAATTGCCTTTGCATGTGTTTGTGATGGGTGCCACCAGCAGGGCAGGATGTGATCACCTTTTGGCGAAGACCTGGTATCATCAGTATTTGATAGTGATTCATAAACACATGCTCATGAGGTAGTCAGATTCCTACACCTGTACTCCGACTTTAGCAGAGATTTCTTATAATTATGGAAATGGTTCTCGTAGCTTGTATTTGCATGTCATAAAAGACTGGAGACTGTTCCTGAGACTATGAAGACCATGATCAGGGCATCCTTGCACAAAGCAATCTTAGCGCTAAGATGATCGTAACGCCCATACTTTAACATAGGCTTACAATAGTCGTAGCATTAAGATCGCTTTGTGCAAGTGGGCCCAGATGCTTAAGAAAGAAATACGGTCATCAGAGTAGTGGGTATTGTATTTTCTTTGTACCCACCGTGAAAAAGGTTAAGCACTGTGTCATATATGTTTCCATATAAAATAGTAATTTTTCAAAATCATCCAGTATTGAAATACACAAACCAAAATCAATTGGCTAATGACATGTTTCGTAACCATGGCAATAGTAAATTGATTAGTCTCTTAAATTTCTTCCTCTGCTTCCTCCTTGTTTGCAATCATCTAGACAACATACTGTGTTCCTGTGTCAACTCTTAACCAGCTATTGGTGGTATTTTAGACAATTATCAAGATGAGGTCAATGTCGTATGTAGATATTTCCCCAAATACATGGAAGGTCAGGATATAGGAAATCAAACAAGGAAGGTGTTTGGTGCTTTTTCCTGATGCAGATTTCAACTTCTTGCCTGCCTAGTCCTCTATCTTTGTGCCAGTGGGCATCAGTAGTGTTACAGAAACAATGTAACAAAACAAAGGTCAATACGAAGATATATCCCAAAGATACATGGAAGTTCAGGATAGAAGAAAAAGAAGAAGGGATAGTGCTAAACCTTTTTCCAGATGCATATTTCAATTTTGTTGGTTGGTTGGTTTGTTGTTTAACGCCGCACTCAGCAATATTCCAGCTATATGACGGCGGTCGGTAAATAATCGAGTCTGGACCAGACAATCCAGTGATTAATATCATGAGCATCGATCCACACAATTGGGATCGATGACATGCATCAACCAACTCAGCGAGCCTGACCACCCGATCCCGTTAGTCGCCTTTTACAAGTATAGTCACCCTTTAAGGCAAGCATGAGTTGCTGAAGACCTATTCTACCCCGGAATCTTCACGGGTCTTCAATTTTGTTATAAAATAATAAAACTCATACATATTGCCAGCATACTTCTCCATCTACATGCATGTTTGCAGAAACTAATGTTTGCTAATGTTAACAGTGACTAAAACATACCACTAGCTCACCTTCACTTCATTTGAATCAGCAGACAAATAGGTTGTGGAAAATATAAGAGTTTACTTTACAGGAAGACCATCAACGCCAAGAATAACTTTAACATCAGGCAGATAGCTTGAGGTGATCTATCTTAAGCGACTACTATTCCCTCTGATCATGGAAATGATTAAAGCAGGTGAGCTTATAATCATGTAATTTCATACAACCTGAAGAGAGCCTCAAGCATTTCATGAAATACTCTGGTCAGAAAGGTAATCATTCATAGCTGGATTCAGAATAAACATTGTCAATATAGAAATAATAAGTTGTAATATTAATTGCTAAGCTTTTTAAAAAGGTAATATTTGAAGGAAGTATTAAGTATGAAGCTGGTTAGTCAACATGACTGTGTGGTATGTATCTCTGACACACAGACAAGCAGTTTCTTATCCTCGGCTTCAGAACCTCTACGTCACAGAGAATGTATATTGAAGCCGTATCACATGACACTAGAACAAGAATTATATATCCTAGTTATGTAAGATTACAGACACTGTTGCTTTACAGGAGATAAATTATATGAACAATTGAACCCACATAAACACAGCAATTTAAGCACAGAAATATCTACACAGAAATGTACAACTGTAAACAGCTTGGTTTCAAGCTCAGTCACCCGACATGACCCA